AGGGCTGGAAGGAGGGCCGGCTCGTTCCTCCGCCGCGCGCTCGGCACCTCCGGCCTCACACCAGAGCCTGCGTTTGAGGGGAAAACTTCCCTGTTTTAGTGTAACTTAAGAGTTTCTCGGGTTTTTTCCCGAATAAAATGCGAATACTGGCGTGTATTTGCAGCTTTTCTATGTCGCTGTCTGCTCTTCTGCTGATCCGGGAGGGGAGATTTAATGCCTAATTTACATTTTCTCTACTCATCGTTATTTTGTATCTCCTTTCTAAACGGCCCCTGTTTAAAACTGAGCATTCCAGTCTTTTTTTATTTCCTGCCACTGACCACTGGAATGATTTTTCTCATCTTGCGTATAGGAAATGAAAGAAAAGAAGGAAAAACTAGAGGAGAAAACAGTCCACAAAGAAAAGAAGAAGGAGATAGTAGAGGTGAGGCCCCATGTAGCCCTTCTGTTGGGCATATCTTTAGAGGAGTCTGGGAGGATTTTATAAGGTGGTTAGTCTGGGAACTTCAGGTTGTAAGTAGGAAGGGAATAATGGGGATCAATCAAAAAGAGAGGGCAGGCCAGTGGAGCTCATAAGGGAGAAGGCTCAAATGAAGAATGAGCTGTGGGATAAATGTGGAAGATGAGCCTTGAAGGATTCAGGCAGCGTAGCCGCTGTGGCCCAGTGGAAGAAAGATCAGAGAGGAGAATGAAGACAAGGGCTGGTAGGAGTTAGGGGGAGGTGGCATTGGGAACAGAGTCTTACACCTACTCAGAGCACTCTGAGGTGCGTAAGGAGCACAAGCTGAGGGAGATGGAGAGAGTAACAGTGAGGAGATGCAGATTGTTGAAGGTCAGAAGGAATCTGGAAGCAGGTGCGTTACACATGGGTAACCAGAGAGATGTTCTGATTGTTGGGAAGGGATTTCAGCAGCTTGTTGGGATTTAAACTTGTGGAAGTCAAGGAAGCTAGGGCTGGTGGGAAAGGATTGGAGGGGTTGGTTTTGTAAGGGATGGAGGCTGGGAGGAGGGTTTCAGCTGTGTGAGACAGCTGGGATAGTGGAAGTGACAGGGTCTGAATAACAGTGCAGGGATCACTTACTTGATGCGCATCCAACACTGGAGTCTGACATAGCGGGAGCTGTGGGGATTATACTTGTGCTTGCAGCAAAGACAGCATGGGAATATTAGCCTGATGCCAATTTTTGCTCTGGCCAATTTGTTTTACTCAGGATGAGGAAAATGGAGCTGAAGAGGATGAGGAAGAGAATCCTGAGGATGTGGATGAAGATGAAGGTGGTGATGAGGATGAAGGTGGGAATGATCAGCTTGGGGGAAATGGGAGGAATCAGGTTATGGGAATATGAAATATCATAGAGGCGAATTCCCTCTCCAAGCCTTCTGACTGAGATTAGATTCGCCTAAAAGCTACCTCAGTTAACTTGTGATTTCCCCTTGTTTGTGCTTAGATGGAGATGAGAATGGGCAAGAGCAGGATGGACATGCAGAAAAACGATCCGCAGAGGAAGAAGAGGTGTGTGATAGTCTGGGAGTAATGACACTGAGAAGGAACTAGGCTACCTGCTGTGAGCTGATGAAATCCATGTGGATGCTATTGCTGAGCATCTCAAATCAGCCTCAGGTCTCATTGCTGCTTCACTGGGTCAACAAACCTGATGTGGCAGGGGGAAAACAGAACCTCACAGACCCTTTGTGGAACTGATCCAGGTTCTTCCCCCCAGCAGTCAAGGTGCTTTAGATTGTGCTGGATGATGATCCTTCAAAGAGCAGTGATTTCTGTGCTTCATGCCAGAAGCTGGATGCCAGATGGACTTTTAAGGGTTGATCCCAGGGTCTGTCTGAGGTGGTGTGAGTCTGGGCTTATATATCTGCTGAAACTAACACAGCAGGTATCCCTACAAATGGAGCTGTGCACGTCTTAACCATTAGCATCAGCAGAACAGCTGAGTGTCAGGCAGTCAAAGGTGCTGTAAAGAAGAGTGGATTTAGGGTAGGCCAAACGAATATTTCCATACGGAGGAAAGAGCAGCAGTAAGAATCTCATGGAGAAATTATGTGCCTTGGTGTGGTGACTGTTTGATGGTAACACCTTTTTTTCCTTCTCTTTCTCCTAAATAGGATGAAGTGGATCCAAAGAGACAGAAGACAGAAAATGGATCTTCAGCTTGAGTCCTCCCCTCCCATCTCTTCTGTTCCGTCCATCTCTCCTCCTCCATTCCAGCCCATGCTTGCACTGTCCATTAGCCTCTGGCTTCACACAGTCTCAGATGAGGAAAGATTAGAAATGCTCTCGGACAGGGAAGACAGCAGTTTCCTTCCCACCTGAAGATCTAGCCCATCTATGACATTCCCCAGCTGAAATTACTCCAGTCCCTCACATCCTTTCAACTGTACCCCACTTAAAAATGATCCTTTCCCTTCAAGAATCTCATCTTTTCCTGTCTCCCAGTAAGTAACCTTACCAGGCCCGTATGCCAAACTCTTCACATGGCAAACACCTCTCATTCTGTTTCACTTGTCCTCTCTTTTCACTAACATGACCGGCTTCTGCTTCTAAGACCTGCTGTCTCAAATATCCTCCCTGGATCCAGGAGGCTGTGGGCACAGATCTCATGGTGCATTTTCCAGTCCTAGGTCTCCTTTCATCTTCTTTCCCGTTGAACCCTGAGAGACAAAGAGAAAGAATATTACAAGCAAATAATGTTTCTATTAAACCACACACAGAGACAGAATTTATTTTAACCTTTTTTTTTTTTAAGTTTACATGACAGACAGCAAGCTGGCCCTCGTGAATTTTTTCAGAAGATAAAGGTTGTTTTTATATATGAATTTCATCTGAACTGCATATTTTTTTTAATTTGGAGGCTTTTTTAAAACAAATCAAGAGATAAACAATTAATTGAGGACCAAACTTTGATTTCCATTTTTCCCTTCAGATTCTCTTGTGACCATTTTTTTGTAAATTAAAGGCAATACAGCCACAGCATTTTCTATGGCACAAACATCACGAGGATGATAGATATAAATATATATATTGTTTTCAACTAGCACTGTAAATAAAAGCATTTAAAAATATTTCAAACAGCTCGTGTAGAAAGGTGTGTCTATAAGTCTTAGGTTTTGTTTTGATCTGATGAGAAGTCAATTTGCAGAAGAACAATAGCATATATGTTGGCCTGACCAGCAGCTCGTGAAAAGAGGAACCTAAGTTTAGTCAAAAGACCTGTGCTAATTGTTTGAATTGCCCCTGCATACCGGAGAACAGTGTGCGTGGGTTCTCTTCCCTCCCTCTGTGCATTGCTCCATCTGGCAAGCATTTACAATGAGGACATGCCACAAACATGAGATAAAACTCCAGGCTTATCGTGAAGCTCTCAAAACCAGACCTCTGCACCAGATGGTAGAGGTTCAGAAAGGGAACCTCATCTGTGGCTGGTGGGCATAAGCAAGTACTGCTCTTAACTTTATGCTATTCTACAGTCTTCCTGCTCTCACTCTCATCAACCATGACCCATGTAGTATCAGTCATGCAGAACAACAGGAAGGTGTTTTAAGAAGCAAGAGCTTCAGTTCTTTGTCCCATCAGCTGCCTGGGAGAGATGAAACATTTGTCTTTTATCCTCGGAGACCTTTGAAGGAGCTACTGTTTTCTCTTCCTTTTTTAACTTTATTCTGAAAATCAAGTAATTGAGCTACCAAGACTGGGAGCTGTAAATCAGGTCTTTTGTCCGAGCATCAGCGGCTTGGTGTCTGTCCAACTACAGCAACAGATCAGATACTTGAAGCACAAACAGTTGCTAGCTTCCATAAATGGCAAGTGTCAATTGTTTATTTTTCTCCAAATGACCACATCTGACCAAGGCGTTCTCTGCCCTGCTTCATGGCTGACTCCAGGAAGCGGAGGGACACAAGCTTGATGGAAATGGCACGGCTAGTGCGAAGCCGCTTCTCACCTACAAACACCTCTGGGGTATGCACGCCTGCCTGGTGGGTTCTCTCTGCACTGTGCGGTGTGGGTGCGCTACTGCCTCGGCACACATTTGCTGGTGGAGTCTCTACTGGGACTGGGCCTGTTTCAGCCCAGAGGTCGCTGCAGTCCTGGTGTTCCTGTCCCAGCCCCTTCACTTCTTCGCAGCTCCACAGCCTGGAGCAGATTTGGGCCCTTCTCCTCCAGGCAAGGCTGGGTCTGGCTCAGACAGGCCCCTCCAGTTCTGGGAGATCCTTGTCTCCAGCTGGAACCATGCGTCGTTGGGTGCTGCACTTGGGCCTTTGCAGTGAAGCTGTCACAGCCTCTCACTGTTGCCCAGTGTCAGCTGGAGGCCATGTTCACGGTGGCCCTGTCCTGCTTCCACAGAGCTCTCTTGGCAGTTGGATCACAGCTGTTTGGTGTGTCTTCCCCTGGGGGACAGTATTGCACAAGCAGGTAGCTGTTGCATCAGATTGACTTGAAATGCCTTTCCCTGCTCCCGCTCACCTTGGGCACAGTGACAAATGAGCCAATTACCTGTATGTATATTTTAACTGCACTTTTGCAATTTTATATTCCTGATATTGCTCCATCTTCCCTTGATGGATTTTAGTCTCTGTTCATTTCAAAATACTTTCATATTGGACCGAGTCCTCAGAATTCCCCCAAACTTTCTGCTGGCCAGTTGCCTTTTACTGTGCTGCATTGAACATAAATTGGTAGAGGATGGTCCAAGTTCTGCAGTGGCTGATTGCAGTTTTCATGCCTCTTCCCCACCATGGTTGTAGTGATGCAGCAGTGCCTGGCTATGAGTACTGAAGTGTGTAATTGTACATGAGGTGTGGAGAGATGACTCCATCTCTGCTTTCCATGTGGATACAATGGCAGTATGCTTTTTTCTATCCATCTGGTCATACAGAAGTATGTGAGGCAGCAGATGATATGGCAGCACTAACAAAATGAACAGCCATTGCTCATTCTCTCTGGGGGGAATGCTGTAGGACAGAGGGAAGTGTTCAAGGGCTGCCAGTTGGGTTCCACGTGTCTCCATGGAGTCCTTGACTCCAGAGCTTCTACTAGTTCTTCCACCTTATTCCTTTGTCACTATCTATGGATAGGACAGTTAAAAGAAAATCTGCTTTGGCATTTGGCCGTCTCGGTGACCTGCAGGACATCATCACTGACTTGAGGTGAGCATTAAAGATAACATAATGAGAAAATGTATAGTTTCTTCTCTTTCCTCAGATCTGCAAAGTTGCATGGCATATCTAGTGCTATTTTAGCTGTCAAGTCTATCACAGCAAGAGGTTGCATAGATTTCCAGAAAAAGTTGAGGATACAGGGTTCTGCACTTCATCTCAAGCCTGTCTGTGTGTTTGGTTTGCATCCAAACCTGCAGATTTTTTTTTACTGTTGAGACTAATTCTTCTTCCACGGTGAAATCAATGAAGTTGTGCTGGTGTCATCGAGGTAAGAACAAGGCTCGTCTTCTCCAGTGATTCCTCAGCACTAATGATACCACTCAAGGGTCTTATTCGCATTTCTTGACTCTGTGCTAAGCCTTCACTTATTTCATTTAATTCCTATGACCATCTGTTAACCTCATCAGCTGGTGGTAGAACTCCCTCAATGCTATCAGTTTTGACAAAGGTTACACTAGAAATCAGTGCATGCTGGGCTTAAACAGCAAGAAACTGCGCAGGACTTTGTACCAGCTGAACTGAACTGTCTTTTGATCAAGTCTTACAACTGGGACAAGCATGATTACACACCGGACCTTAGTTTTCAATGCACCTGCGACAAAGTGCTCAAGTGGTTTCATCTGAGAGAGGTTTTGTGCATTAGGAGGTCTTTCCTAAGTAACTTTCTTACCCTTATCACAGTATTGTTAGAGGCTTTGAGAAGGTGTTTGGTATTCATAGTTCCTTCCTTGCTCCCAATGGAACTTATTTCAAGCTTCCAGCAGCTCTAGTCTTGCTAACAGAACAGTATCAAAGTTTTCCTCCTTCCTACTTTTCCTCCAGGGCTTTAAGAGGACTGTGGAGGTGGCGTAATCACACACTTGCAGGCTCTGCTAGAGTTTCCTCTAGACTGACAATTTCTGCTTCTGATGGCCCTTTTTATGGTTTAGAAGAGCAAACAGATGCCAGGGCATGGCAGAGCGGGTAGAGCCGCTTACTGGGTCTTAGCTAGATTCCTGTCGTAGCTCAGGCAAGCGAGTAATTCTCTCCCTGGCTGGGATCAACACACAGCTTCAGGGAAAGCTCCTTGCTGGGACAGGCTGGGGATATTTGATGGGCTCTGGCTACTCCCTGGACGATGGGCAGGAGCATGTTCAATGAGACAGGGCCAAAGAACAGTCTCTTGCCCTGAGTCCTGTGACATGGACTGGCTGTATACATGCTACATGGTGTTTGGGTTTGGGTGACGTGCCCCCATAGCCCTAACATTTTCCGACTGTGTTTTGCAGTTCAAAGCACCTGAAATAATGTGATGGTTGGGCCACGGACGCACTGAGGTGGTGAGCTCGTAGCTGGAAGCTGAAGGTCTGTGTTTCATGGTCTGGGGTGTGGCAGGAAGCAATGTTTGGGGGTGCAATGTCTGCTGGGATAGTGCTGGAGGACTATAAGGGAAGCCAAACTGGGGGCAGCCTGGCCCACACCAACTGCTGGGAGTGATCCCTGGTGAGTGCTGTGCCCTGAGCTGCACCAAGGCTTCCTTGCCCTGGGCAGCATTTGTCACCGGGTCAGAACCATGGCCAGGAGCTGGCTAGCGGTGAGGATGTGAGCGGACAGCGCCCAGTGCTTGAGCTCCCTCCCTGCTCCTGTTTCAGTGACCGTTGCAGATAGAGAATTTTTTGTCTTGGAGAGGTCTGACTGCAGTGCTGTAAAGGATAAGCATGAGAGGAGGCAGCTAATCTCAGTGTTGGCTGAATAAAAACTTTCTCATACATATAAAACAACAGAGCAACCTGATCTAGCTTTGCAGACAGCCCTGCTGTGAGTAGAGAGTTGGACTAGAGACCTCCAGAGATGCCTTCCCACCTACATGCTTCTGTGAGTCTATGAAGAACTAGAGGTCTGTCATGGAAACTCTGAACAAAGTCTGAAGATATTCTGAAGTGCTGAACCCAGAAACAAATGCTCTTTGCATCTTGAAGCTGTCACCTCCTCATTTCCACCTTAGGCATATGATCCCCTCCAGCCTCTTTGGTCTTTCACACCAGTTTTAAGTCTAAATGAAACAAGACTGGTGTAATCAAAACCATCACACCAGCAGAATCATGAACCCTCCCTCAGACTTGGAACAAGTGAGCCCTCTAGCCACTTTTGGTCTGGGAGGAAAAAATTGTCTTGCTTTAGGAAAGTCCATAATTACCCTGTTATATTAGCTTTTAAAAAAAGTGAAAATAAGATTATTTCCCTCCTCCAGCCCTTCCTCTGGGACCAGAAGCCTTTTTAGGCCCTCTGGTTAGGAACCACATTGCTTTGCCTGTTCTCATATGCTATATGGGAAATCAAAACAATGTGACTTCTCAGATCCCTAAGAAGCCCATGGACTTTTCCCTCCCACCTCTAAGAGTGGAGTCAAAGACAGACACACTTATGGTCAGTCCAGTCTGCATGTTTTCTCAGGGAAGAAGTCTATTTACATGTGTGGGCTGAGATCGGGTACGTATCGCAGGTTGACAGGACTTGAGTGCTGCATATCAGAGGATCACTTCAGGGTTCATTTACTGGTGAGCTCTTACTGTTTTTGCAAAACACAGTCACAGAGGTGAGGAGTGACGCAAGGTGTTAGTATGCAAGGGTCCCAGCCACAAAAGATGACTGACTGACCGAGCACGGTACCATCAGGTACAGTTTTACTCTTGGGGGAGGCATTTGAGGTGAGACACAGAAGAAGATGCTTCCCATCTCAGACTTCTCAGGAAGAACTGACTCCAGCTCCCAGCTGGAAGTATCTGTGCACAGCATTGATTCCTTAACTGAGCCTCAGAGAACTGGAATATCAGAGCTGACAAGTTTAATCTTGCTTGGTGTATCTGTGCAAGCAGGTTACGGCAGATGACTAGTTGCACATCATCCATTAAAGAGGATAGAAGAGCACATGATGC